ACCATTATAAATATATATGCACCCATTACAGGAGCACCAACATTTGTGAAGCAAAAACTAACAGAAATCAAGGAGGAAATAGAATGTAATGCATTCATTCTAGGAGACTTCAATACACCATTCACTCCAAAGGTCAGATCCACCTTACAGAAAATAAGTAAGGACACAGAGGCACTGAACAACTCACTATAACAGATGGACCTAACACATCTACACAACTCTATACCCAAAAGCAGCAGGATACACATTCTTCTCCAGTGCACACAGAACATTCTCCAGAATAGAATACATACTAGGCCACAAAAAGAGCCTCAGTAAATTCAAAAATATTTGAAATACTACTAACCAACTTCTCAGACCACAAAGGAATAAAACTAGAAATAAATTGTACAAAGAAAACAAAAAGGCTCACAAACAAATGGAGCCTTAACACTATGCTCCTAAATAATCAATGGATCAAGGACCAAATTAAAATAGAGATCAAGCAATATATAGAGATAAATGAAAACAACAGAACAAAGCCCCAACTTCTGTGGGACGCAGCAAAATCAGTCTTAAGAGGAAAGTGTGTAGCAATCCAGGCATATTTAAAGAAGAAAGAACAATACCAAATGAATAGTCTAAAGTCACAATTACGTAAACTGGAAAAAGAAGAACAAAAGAACATATGAGGCCCAAAGTCAGCAGGAGGGACATAATAAAGATCAGAGAAGAAATAAATAAAATTGAGGAGAAATAAAACAACAAAAAAAAATTCATGAAACCAAGAGCTGGTTCTCTGAGCAAATAAGCAAAACATGTAAGCCCCTAGCCAGACTTATTAAGAGAAAAAGAGAATCTACACACAACAGAAATAGAAATGAGAAAGGAAAAGTCATGACATACCCAACAGAAATATGAAGAATAACTACAAAATACTATGAAAATCTATATGCTAATAAGCTGGAAAACCTAGAAGAAATGGACAACTTCCTAGAAAAATACAACCTTCCAAGAGTGATCAAGGAAGAAACAGAAAACCTAAATAGACCACTTGCCAGCAATGCAAATTGAATCGGTGATCAAAAAACTACCCAAGAACAAAACCACTGGGCCATATGGATACACCACTGAATTTTATCAGACATAAAGAGAAGACATAATCCCTATTCCCCTTAAAGTTTTCCAAAAAATAGAAGAGGAGGGAATATTCCCAAAGTCATTCTATGAAGCCAGCATCACTCTAATACCAAAAGCAGGCAAACATCCCACAAAAAAAGAAACTTACAGACCAATATCCATGATGAATATAGATGCAAAAATACTCAATAAGATATTAGCAAACCAAATTCAAAAATAAATCAAGAGCATCATACACCATGATCAAGTGAGATTCATCTCAGAGATGCAAGGATGGTACAACATCTGAAAATCCATCAACATCATCCACCACATCAACAAAAAGGACAAAAACCACATGATCATCTCCACAGATGCTGAAAAAGCATTAGACAAAATTCAACATCCGTTCATGATAAAAACTCTCAACAAAATGGGTATAGAGGGCAAGTACCTCAACATACTAAAGGCCATATATGACAAACCCATAGCGAATGTCATACATAACAGCAAGAAGCTGAAAGCTGTTCCTCTAAGATCAGGAACAAGACAGGGATGCCCACTCTCCCCACTGTTATTCAAAACAGTACTGGAGGTCCTAGCTAAGGCAATCAGACAAAGCAAAGAAATACAAGGCATCCAGACTGGTAAAGAAGAAGTCAAACTATCACTATTAGCAGATAACATAATATTATACATAAAAAACACTAAAGAATCCACTCCAAAATACTAGACAAATACCTGAATTCAGCAAAGTTGCAGGATACAAAATTAATACACAGAAATCCATGGCTTTCCTATACACTAACGATGAACTAGCTCAAAGAGAAATCAGGAAATCAATTTCTTTCACAGTTGCATCAAAAAGAATAAAATACCTAGGAATAAACCTAACCAAGGAAGCAAAAGACCTATACCCTGAAAACTACAAGAGACTCTTAAGACAAATTAAAGAAGTCACTAACAAATGGAAACTCATCCCACAATCTTGGCTACGAAGAATTAATATTGTCAAAATGGCCATCCTGCCTAAAGCAATCTACAGTTTCAATGGAATGCCTATCAAAATACCAACAAGGTTGAACAAATAGTTTTAAAATTCATATGGAACCATAAGAGACCCAAAATACTTAAAGTAATCCTGAGAAGAAAGAATAAAGCAGGGGGTAATCTCGCTTCCCAACTTCAAGCTTTACTACAAAGCCACAGTAATTAAGACAATTTGGTACTGGCACAAGAACAGACCCAAAGACCAGTGGAACAGAATAGAGAGTCCAGATATTAACACAGACATATATAGTCAATTAATATACGATAAAGGAGCCATGGACATACAATGGGGAAATGACAGCCTCTTCAACAGCTGGTGCTGGCAAAACTGGACAGCTAGAGAATGAAACTGGATCATTGTCTAACTCCATACACAAAAGTAAATTGAAAATGGATCAAAAACCTGAATGTAAGTCATCAAACCATAAAACTCTTAGAAAAAAACATAGGCAAAAATCTCTTGGACATAAACATGAGCGACTTCTTCATGAACATCTTCCCCTGGGCAAGGGAAACAAAAGCAAAACTGAACAAGTGGGACTATATCCGGCTGAAAAGCTTCTGTACATTAAAGGACACCATCAACAGAATAAAAAGGTATCCTACAGTACGGGAGAATATATTCATAAATGACAGATCCGATAAAGAGTTGACATCCAAAGTATATAAAGAGCACACCCATCTCAACAAAAAACAAAAAGCAAATAATCCAATTAAAAAATGGTCAGAGAAGCCGAACAGTCAGTTCTCCAGAAAAGAAATTCAGATGGCCAACAGACACATGAAAAGATGCTCCTCATTGCTAGTCATCAGAGAAATGCAAATTAAAACCAAAATGACATATCTCCTCACACCAGTAAGGATTGCCGCTATCCAAAAGACAAACAACAAATGTTGGCGAGATTGTGGAGAAAGGGAACCCTCCTACACTGCTGGTGGGAATGTAAATTAGTTCTACCATTGTGGAAAGCAGTATGGAGGTTACTCAAAAAACTCAAAATAGAAATACCATTTGACCCAGAAATCCCACTCCTAGGAATTTACCATAGGAATGGAGGAGTCCAGTTTGAAAAGGACATATGCACTCCTTTGTTTATTGTAGCACTATTTACAGTAGCCAAGAAATGGAAGCAACCTAAGTTTTCATCATCAGATGAATGGATAAAGATGTGGTACATATACACAGTGGAATATTATTCAGCCATAAGAAGAAAACAAATCCTACCATTTGCAACAACATGGATGGAGCAAGAGGGTATTATGCTCAGTGAACTAAGCCAGGTGGAGGAAGACAAGTACCAAATGATTTCACTCATATGTGGAGTATGAGAACAAAGAAAAAAACTGAAGGAGCAAAACAGCAGCAGACTCACAGAACCCAAGAATGGACTAACAGTTACCAAAGGGAAAGGGATTGGGGAGGATGGGTGAGAAGGGAGGGATAAGGTGGTGGAAAAAAGAAAGGGGGGATTATAATTAGCATGTAAAATTTTGGGGTGACATGGGGAGGGCTGTACAACACAGAGAAGACAAGTCGTGATTCTACAGTATCTTACCACTACTGGCTGATGGACAGTGTCTATAATGGGGTATGTGGGGGGAACTTGGTGAAGGGGGTAGTCTAGTAAACATGATGTTCCTCATGTAATTGTAATGATACCAAAAAAAAAGTCTTCACTTGGATGCTTTGCCTCAGTACAGCACAACCCAGATTACATCTACCACTTCTCCAAAACCACTCTTCCTATATTAATCAGTGGCACCAGTTCTCCAAGTCAAAATTCTAGATGTTATCTGGTTTATCCATCCTTCCAAAAATGTAAGTTTATTTTTTTAAAAATTACAAGCACACTCAATTTTAAAAATCCAAACACTAAGTACACACAAGAACAAAGTAAAAATTATCCTCCAACTATCCCTTTTATAGCCCTCACCTGTGGCAACAACCGAGCTAAAAATAGTGACTGATCCCTTTACACGGGGTATGTGCTCATCAGTCCCTATTGAGCCCAATGTCACTCAATGATGTCCTCCTCTAGAGGATCTGAATTTGCAACCCCCTCCATACATACCGTTGAATAATCAGTTTTCAACAATGTTGGATATATTTTGATATATGCCTTATTTGTGAGCTCATCTACATTTTGATCACTAAACAGTATGTAGTAGGTGCTCAATCAGTGTTTAGTTATTGACAAGCAAGTCATTCAAAACTGAACTGTCAGATTGTTTTATCACCTAACCCTTAAGGTGAAAGTGTTCCTTCTGTGTCTGAAGTGTACACTGTCCTTCTAATATAGCCCTTGTCAAGCTGCATTTTAACTCTGTCTACCAATTAGAGTGTGAATCACATAAAGAGAGAGAGTGACTATGTCTTTCCTATCAGTAGATTAAGTAGCGAGCACATAAGTAAGTAGCTGGCTGGAATATATTATTCAATCAGTTCACGTACTGAGCAAAAACTCCATGGTTTGAAGAAGCTCACCATCATCTACAGTCACAGATTTTCGTTAAGTTTCATCTAAGTGCCTGGGGCATTGGTGAGTTTAATATCTCATGGAAAACAGTGATAGCTCAAACCTCAAAGTAATATCCATTTGATTTTCATTTTCATCTCATTTTTTGTGCTTTCCAAAGTTAAAAAGTAAGTGTACATTGCTTTTTTCATCATTAAAATTAGCAAACTTTACAAAATATGTACACTAAAGTATGTTTTTTTAAAAGGCTCACTTGACTGATTCTGCTATCAATGGTCAAAGCTATTTCATGCACTTAAATTTTAATGATGCTAACTAATATTGGAGGGATAGCCTGATGGAAGGGGGGCGGGGGGCGGAAGGAGAAATTCCCACCATTGTACTTAACACTGTTGGCCAGAATAAGGTTGACATCATCCAGAAAGCTGTCCCGACCCTGATACTTGTGCTTGGAGATATTCTGTGATTAAAAGAATCAGGGACTCAGATGACAGAATAAGGTTGACATCATCCAGAAAGCTGTCCCGACCCTGATACTTGTGCTTGGAGATATTCTGTGATTAAAAGAATCAGGGACTCAGATGCATATACAAAGTTACTGGATTCCAAAAAGACATTTTAGAACAAAACACAAAACACTCACCTTACGTATAGTCTCTAAATCCATTGGACTCACAATCACTTTGTAATAATCTGGAACGAACTTCTTATTAACTGGGTGATGAAATGGCCAAGACTAGTTAAAAGAAACCATGAGAAATAATTAAATGCAAAATCATTCTTTATACCAGAAATTCTAAACCTAATCACTAATATTCCTAAGAATCTGACAAAAGCTATGAATTCTCTACCCAGAAAGACATAATTACATAAAACTTTGCATATAATTTAAGGGGTTCATGGAATCCTTTAAAGGTTCCTATGCTCTCATAGCGTAAGATCTCCTGCTCTATACTTACAATTAAAATTTCTTATCCCCAGCTCCATCCAGAAGTTTTATAGCATTGCACATATATAACATATGCCTGCAAGCTGAATGTTAACAGTTCAGAATTCCTAGGGACTATCATTACAACAAAATGATACGTTGAATCAACACAGTAGCCCTGGACATGAAGTTGTAATAGACAAAACATGAGGATGACGACAAACACTGGTTAACTATCAAACTGTCATTTGTCATGAAGCACCTCTAAATGCAAAGCCTCCCACTGGCTGGCATCCTAATCTCTCTACAGAGCTATTCAGGAACATTGAAATACTGAATGGCAACAATAGGCAGAATAAGCCTCTATATCCATAGGGTTCTTGGACTCTTTGATTTCAGTGATAATGCCTCAGACAGCAAAAAAAGGTTGGTTTTTAAAATTACATCACTTTGAATCGATAAATACCACCCTCCAGACTCCCCAACATACATATACATGCAAATACTACTGTTTTCCTTCCCCCTGTACTGTCTTCACAATATTTAGCACGAAGACCACCTACATCTGCAACTGCCATCATTTTCTGGGTGACAATGTTGTCTAGAATGAAAGAAAATGCCACTTGGTCATCATCATCCAGCAAGGGGTTGATAGCTTTCTCTAAACGAGCCAAATTGTCTTCTTCCTGACACAAAACAAAGCGAAAGGAAAGACAGAAGTTTTCCTGAGGTGTGGTCAACAAAGAAAATTAAGGAGAATTTACAGCTCAGTTGTCTATTCCCCTTGAGCCAGAGACTCTAACTTTGAATTTTCAGCTACTCAGTTCCAGGCAAAAAGTCCAGATAAATGATACTCCAGTAAAAGATCAAAGAGCCATATCAACCAATACATCCAAAAGCATCAAAGGGATATACCAACCACTCTCTTAGGAATTCTATCTTCTATTCCTATAGATCACCAAAAATATACATTCCTGGGTCTCAATAGCTTAGCTCCCACAACAAAAACACCTTTACCAAGTTAGATTTTAATATCATGTTCTTTCTGCTACAACACTATTGCTGAAAGCACTGAACACTTTATTGGTGATTACTGACTTCTCTATAAGGGAATCTAACCCAATACAATGATTTCAGACTATACTAGGAAAAAATTGTTTTAATAATTCCTCATCCTCACAAACACTTAGTATTTTCAGGGTTTTGTTTTGTTTGTTTTCTTAAATTTTAGCTTCTGGTAGGTATGTTGGTTTAAATTTGCATTTTCCCAGTGATCAAGTTGAGAATCTTCTCATGTTTATCGGTCATTTGGTAATCCTCTTTTATGAGATGTCTACCTCATATTAACATCATTATCAACTTGTATATTTTTATAAGCTTGTAAGGTGTCTTTTCCTTTTTTTTTGGTAAGAAGATGGAATATAGACACATTATCTTTTAAAAATTAAAATTCCTCCCTGCCAGAACTCTCTCTTAGCTCCAGCTGACTTCCTGGGAAGTCATTTTCCTTGGCCCTTTTTGAAGAGTTATGTGGGTTCTAGATTTTAATCCCAGCTCTACTATTTAGTAGTCATGCTGCCCAGGGCAAGTCATTTTCTTCTATGAACCTCAGTTTTTCCATCTACAAAAAAGGATTGGACTATATGATTTCTAAGGTCCCTTCCAGACTCTAACATACTGAAGATATGCTACTTCCACACTCCTGTACTCCTCTTTCTGTTAACGCCGTACTTCCTCAACCCTGCTCCCACCACCTTCAAATTCTACTGCCTTTCTCTCATTTTAAATGTTTTACCTCTTTGAGTTTTTCATCACAGAGATCCAGCATGGACTGAGAGATCTGGGTCAGTGAGTGCTTCGGACCTAAATTACAGCAAAACATTATTAAGATTAAGGAGGCAAGAGCTGCCAATACCTCTTCAGATTTATAACACATTTCCTCAAGCACCTAATACAACTATGTGCCAGGCACCAGCCTTGCTGCTGAGTCAGACAGGTATACTAGTGTTAGCTCCATTTTTCAGGGCTTAACACGGCATATCCACACTATGTATGAATAAACTAATTTTAACTCTTCCTTATTTGTGTTACCTCCACACATAGTACTACTATTATTAGTACTGCTGCCTTTAATACCTTGTAAATGATACTATAGACAGGGAATAACAATCTGCTGAAAGATGGCTGAGAAGATCAATGCATGGTTTATATCTTTCCATACTTAGCATATATAATTTGTGATTACAATTTTCATTTACAGAACTCCTGGTTTATGATGTCCTCCCAAAATATGGCTAATCCAAAGCCTTTGCCACACAACAATACCTGTCCCATCTCAGACTGTTATTTTAGTTTCCCTGAACTCCTTTAGGAAATTCCTTCAATGATCTTCTACACTCCTCCTACTTACAGTTGCCCTAATTTAAGCAAATTTAGTGTAAGATGGTGATAATCAGCGGATACATGGCAGCTGAAGTCATGAAAATGAAAAACGTGGGAAATGATTAGATAAAGTCCCCCCATAAGAGGGAGAGGATTGAGGAGGATCAAGTGGTCAACAGTGCTAAATGCACTTTAAAAGTTCAAGAAAGTTATTCTTAGCACATGATAAAATGTTCAACAGCAAAGACAAATACTGCATGATCTCACTTCTATGTGGGATCCAAAAAAATCAACACCACCACTACCAAAAATCCAAACTCACAGAAAAAGAGATCAGACTTATCAGAGGTGGGGTTGGGCAAGGGAGTTATAGGAAGGTGGTCAAAAGGCACAAACTTCCAGTTATAAGACAAATTAAGGACTAGGGACATAATGTACAACATGATGACTATAATTAACACTGCTGTATGGATATATAGGAAAGTTGTTATATTTTAATAGTTCTCATCAAAATGAAGCAAAATTTTTCTCCTTTTATTGCACCTGTGTAAGATGGTGGATGCTAACTAAACACTGTGGTACTCATTTGACAACACATGTAAGTCAAATTACTACCCTATACACTGAAACTTACACAGTGCTGTATGTCAATTCTATTTCAAAGATGGAGGGAAAAAAGGATGCTCGACATCATTAGTCATTAAGGAAATGCAAATGAATACAACAGTAAGATACCACTTCATATCCACAAGGTGGTTAAAATAAAAAAGATGGACAATAAATAACAAGTACTGACAAAAAATGTGGAGAAATTGGAACTCTTACTACACACTGGGATTGTAAAACAGTGCAGTTGCTCTAGAGATACAGTCTGGCAGTTCAAAAAGCTAAACACAGAGTTACCATCTGTTACAAGCAATTCCACTCCTAGATATTTATCCAAGAGAAATTAAAACAAATATCCACATAATAGTTTGTACATAAATGTTCACAGCAGCATGTTTGTATTAGCCATAAAGCACAAACAACCTGGTGTCCATAAACTGATGAACAGATTTTTAAAAACAGGGTCTCTGCACAAAGGAATATCATGTGGTAATAAAAAGAGGTAATAAATACCGATACACACTACAACATGTATAACACACATTAAAACTGACCAGTTTAAGTGGGTGAATTATATAGCGTACAAATTATATCTCAATAAAGCTGTTTAAATAAAAGGTATTTCTGAAATAGGCCATCTGATCCACCCACAGTTAGGAGGCTGCTAGTATTTCTGCAGAAGTCAACTGCAGAGTTGTGAGGTACAAATGGGAAATGAGTAAGTGGAGGCGTATGTGGAGCATGGTGGTCAAGAGCATAGGCTTTACATAAGATATACTTGTATTTACGTCTCTGCTACTTTTTAGCCGAATGACCACCACCTTGGTCTGAGAAGAAAGAAGATTGAGCTAGAGAGGGATATAAGGCTATAAGACAGTTCTAACTTTAAAATTTTCTTCCTTATTTTTTTTACTAACATCTCCACCTAAATAACCCACAGATACCTCAAACTCCGTATTTTCAAAGTCAATACTTAACTTTCCGTTCCCCTTCCAATCTGATTTTTGTTTTAAGTATTTATCCTTGCAACTTGAATGACAGGTGGACCTAACAAAGTTATTCTTCCCTTGTATGTATGTATGTGTCTGGCACTCTGCTAGGTCCTGGGAATACAACGATGAGTAAGACATGGTCTCTCTAGAAGGACACAAGGTGGCGGGAGAATCAGATACATAAATAATTATATATATTACAACACCTGAAAACATACACTTAATTGTGCTGGAGAGCAAAAGGACAAAAAAATGGATACTTTAGGCAATTTGAATAACTGTTCATGAAGAGATGATATGACCTGGTCTGGAAATATGAATGGAAATTTACCACTGAAAGGGAAGAAAGAGCATTCCAGAGAGCAAAGACGGTACAAAGACATGAAGAAATAGCATAGGATATTTAGTGAAGTATATGTTGAGTGTGGCAGGAGTCTACAGTAGTTGTGGGATCCAGTCACAGGTGATGAGACTAGATAAACAGGTTAGGCCTGCTTGTGAAAGGTCTTAAAATCTAGGTACTACTACTGTCCCAGTTGTACAGATGAGAAAACTGAGGAGATTAAATAACTTGTCTGAGGTAACTCAATTAGTAAGTGGCAGAGCAATTATTCATACTCTGGCTGTACTCTTAATCCCTATGTCTATATATGAACCTATGGACAAGGACACAACTAGAAACTAGAAAACTTTATCCTTTACGTGCAGAAGCTATATTGTTTACCCTCTTTTAAGACTCAGAAAACAGATTTCTTCCTCCTTGCCTTTCTAGCTGGAGCATATAACTGCCTCTATGTTAAAAGATCTGTAGATCAAATCAAAGATTCACATACAGCAAATATGGTCACAAGCACAGTTTCTGAACATGTTCCATCCACACAGAATCTCTCTCCCTTCTGCTTACTTAGGCCCACTTCTTCCCCCAGTACTCTCCATGAAATTCTTTCATTTCAACAGATACACTCCAAATTATACAGAGGGTACATTAAAAAGCGGGAATAAGCAGCAGCACTATTTGTGACTTTGATGGGGTGTGAGGGAGGACTTGATGATATGGGTAAATGTAGTAATAACCACATTGTTTTTCATGTGAAACCTTCAAAAGACAGTTTATCAAAGATCCCTTAATAAAAAAAACATCTCAGGCTTGTCCTGAGAATTACAGTATGTAAGTAAGTATATATAAAGTGCTTAACACAGTGGATGGCACTTAGAAAATGTTAAATAAATGTTAGCTATTTATTATTTTCTTCTAAAAAAAGCAGTATTTATTAAATGACTAGAACATGTATACATGATTTTCATAACCCCAAAAAGCCTCAATACATTGTGTGTCCTTTCAGTGTCCAAGATAGTCTGAATTTAGGACTATTAAGGGATAAATAAGGATCTGAATGGTGACCTTTGTAGTCAAGGATCAGGTGATTCTTACCATTGTAGGTTGCACTGTTTTTTACAATTAATTCCAAATGGTCTCTGAACTCTTTCCGAGATGGGTAGAGGTGTTGACGCACATTTTCACGGAGTGTTTGTAAGTCCATTGGTCGAGTGATAATTCTGTAGTAGTCCTTGACAACCTTTCCATTGACTGGAGTGTGGAAAGGGTATGTCTGTGCAAACAAAATCCAGCACCATTAATGAGCAAAGAACACTTGCCAGAGCCAATTCCTGAAAACTCACTTTTTACCTGTCTAAGTGGATATCAACTCTCAAAGGAATCTTTCTAGGTGGAACAGGTCTGACTTCCTCTTTAACTAAACTGTTAAAGAAAAGAACGAAACAACTGTATACCGAAAAATTAGGAGGTCCAAGCAGCTGTGACTCTATCTACTGCCCTGTACCTGTAATTATACACAGAAGAAAGGGCCTAGCCATCCCTACTGTAGATATGTATGCAATGAACTCACATTTGGAAGCTCTCTCATGTCATTGATGATACACTCCAAGATGGAGGACAATGTCACCATGGGGTCTGTCTGGCGCCGGTGAATGGACTTACGAGGTCTCTACAGAGAAACAAGAAATAAGAATGCTACTTTTTTAACTTTTAATTTTGGTATCATTAATGTACAATTACATGAGCAACATTATGGTTACTACACTGCCGCCATCATCAAGTCCCCACCACATACCCCACTACAGTCACGGTCCATGAGCGTATCAAGATGCTATAGAACCACTACTTGTCATCTCTGTGTTGTACTGCCTTCATCATGAGCTCCCCCGCTACATTATGTGTGCCTATAATAATGCCGCTTTTTTGCTCATATCCCTCCTTTCACAACCATCCTCCCCAATCCCTTTCTCTTTGGTAACTGTTACTGCATTCTTCGGTTCTGTGACTCTGATGCTGTTTTGTTCCTTCAGTTTTTTCTTTGTTCTTGTACTCCACAGATGAGGGAAGTCATCTGAAATGTCTTTCTCCACCTGGCTTATTTCACTGAGCCTAATACCCTCTAGCTCCATCCATGTTATTTCAAATGGTAAAGATTTATTTTCCTCTTAAGGCTCAATAATATTCTATTGTGTATATGTACCACATCTTCGTTATGCACTCATACACTGATGGACACTTAGGTTGCTTCCATTTCTTGGCTATTGTAAATAGTGCTGTGATAAACATAGGTGTGCATCTGTCTTTTTCAAACTGTGTTGATGCATTCTTAGGGTCAATTCCTCGGAGTGGAATTCCAGGGTCAAATGGTATTTCTATTTTGAGTTTTTTGAGGAATATCCATACTACTTTCCACAATAGAAACTAATTTACATTCCCACCAGCAGTGTTGGAGGGAGGGTTACCCTTTCTCCATATACTCGCCAACATTTGTTGTTGTTTATCTTTTGGATGGTGGCTATCCTAACTGGTGTGAGGAGAAATGTCATTGTGGTTTTAATTTTCATTTCGCTGATGATTAGCGACGTGGAGCATCTTTTCATGTGCCTGTTGGCCATCTCAATTTCTTTTCTGGAGAACTGATTGTTCAGCTCCTCTGACCATTTTCTAATTGGATTATTTGCTTTTTGTTTGTTGAGGTATGTGAAGTCTTTATATATTTTTGATGTCAATCCTTTAGCGGATCTGTCATTTATGAATATATTCTCCCATACTGTAGGATATCTTTATGTTCTATTGATGGTTTCCTTTGCTGTACATAAGTTTCTCAGCTTGATAAAGTCCCACTTGTTCATTTTTGCTTTTGTTTCCCTTGCCTGGGAGATATGTTCATGAATAAGTTGCTCATGTTTATGTCCAAGAGATTTTTGCCTATGTTATTTTCTAAGAGTTTTATGATTTCATGACTTACATTCATGTTTTTAATCCATTTTGAATTTACTTTTGTGTATGGGGTTAGACAATGATCCAGTTTCATTCTCTTACATGTAGCTGTCTAGTTTTGCCAGCACCAGCTGTTGAAGAGGCTGTCACTTCCACACTGTATGTCTGTGGCTCCTTTATTGTATATTAATTGATCATATATTTTTGGGTTAATATCTGGATTCTCTCTTCTGTTCCACTTGTCTAAGGGTCTGCTCTTGGGCCAGTACCAAATTTTCTACATCACTGTGGCTTTGTAGAAGAGATTGAGGTTGGGAAGTGAAATCCCCTCTACTTTATTCTTCCTTCTCAGGACTGCTTTGGTATTCGGGGTCTTTTGTGGTTCCATGTGAATTTTAAAACTTTGTTCAAGTCCGTTGAAGAATGCTGTTGGTATTGTGATAGGGAATGCATTGAATCTGTAGATTGCTTTGGGCAGGATGGCCACTTTGACAATATTAATTCTTCCTAACCAAGAGCATGGGATGAGTTTCCATTTGTTAGTGTCCTCTTTAATTTATCTTAGGAGTATTTTGTAGTTTTCAGGGTATAGGGCATAGATCTTTCACTTGGTTAGGTTTTTTCCTAGCAATTTTATTCTTTTTGATGCAGTTGTGAAAGGAAATGTTTTTCTGATTTCTCTTTTGGCTAGCTCATTGTTAGTGTATAGGAAAGCAACAGATTGCTGTATATTAATTTTGCACTCCACAAATGTTCTGAATTCATGTATTACATCTAGTAGTTTTGGAATGGAGTCCTTAGGGTGTTTGATGTACAATATCGTGTCATCTGCAAATAGTGACAGTTTAACTTCTTCCTTAACAATCTGGATGTGCTTTATTTGTTTTGTCTGATTGCTGTGACTAGGGCATCTAGTACTTTGTTGACTAATAGTGGGGAGAGTGGGCATCGCTGTCTTGTTGCCAATCTTACATGAAAAGCTTTCAGCTTCTCATGCTTAAGTACAATGTTGGCTGAGTTTTTGTCATATATGGCCTTTATTATATTGAGGTATGTGCTCTCTATACACATTTTGTTGAGAGCTTTTATCATGAATGGATGTTGAAAATTTTCAAATGCTTTTTCAGCATATATGCAGATGATCGTGTGGTTTTGTCCTTCATTTTGTTGATGTGGTGGATGATGTTGATGGCTTTTTGAATGTTGTACTATCCTTGCATCCCTTGTATGAATCCCGCTTGATCACGGTGTATGATCCTCTTGATGTATTTTTGAATTTGGTTTGCTAATATTTTGTTGAGTATTTTTGCATCTATATTCTTCAGGGATATTGGTCTGTAATTTTCTTTTTTTGAGGGGTGTTTGACTGGTTTTGGTATTAGAGTGATGCCAGCTTCATCAGATGAGTTTTGCAGTATTACCTCCTTTTCTATTTTTTTGAAACTTTAAGGAGAATGGGTATTACATCTTCTCTAAAAGCCTGATAAAATTCAGCAGTGAATCCATCTGGCCTGGGGCTTTTGTTCTTGTGTACTTTTTTTATTATTATCGATTCAATTCCACTGCTGGTAATTGGTCTGTTTAGATTTTCTGTTTCTTTCTGGGTCACTCTTGGAAGGTTGTATTTTTCTAGGAATTTGTCCATTTCTTCTAGGTTTTCCAGCTTGTTGGCATATGGGTTTTCATACAATTCTCTCATAATTCTTTGTATTTCTGTGGGGTACATCATGATTTTTCCTTTTTCATTTCTGATTCTGTTTATGTCTGTAGCTTCTCTTTTTCTCTTAAATCTGGCTAGGGGTTTATCTATTTTGTTCATTTTCTCAAAGAACCAGCTCTTGTTTCCACTGATTCTTTCTACTGTTTCATTTTTCTCAATTTTATTTATTTCTGCTCTACTCTTTATCATATCCCTCCTGTTGACTTTGGGCCTCATTTGTCCTTCTTTTTCCAGTTTCGATAATTGTGACTTTAGACTATTCATTTGGGATTGTTCTTCCTTCTTTAAATAGGCCTGGATTGCTATATACTTTCCTCTTAGAACTGCCTTCACTGCCTCCCACAGAATTCTGGGCATTGTACTGTTGTTTTCATTTGTCTCCATATATTGCTTGATCTCTTGTTTTAATTTGGTCATTGATCCATCAATTATTAAGGAGCACATTGCTAAGTATCCATGTGTTTGTGAGCCTTTTTTTTTCTTTGTACAATTTACTTCTGGACTTATACCTTTGTGATGTGAGAAGTTGGCTGGTAGAATTTCAATCTTTCTGAATTTACTGAGGCTCTGTTCATGGCCTTGGTCTGTTCTGGAAAATAGAGAAAGTGTATTCCCCTGCTGCTTTTGGGTGTAGAGTTCTGTAGATGTCTGTTAGGTCCATCTGTTCTAGTGCGTTGTTCAGTGCCTCTGTGTCCTTACTAATTTTCTGTCTTGGTTGATCTGTCCTTTGGAGCTAGTGGTTTGTTGAAGTCTCCTAAAATGAATGCATTGCATTCTATTTCCTTCTTTAATTCTGTTAGTATTTGTTTCACATATGTCAGTGCTCCTGTGTTGGTTGGGTGCATATATATTTATAATGGTTGCATCCTCCTGTTGAACTGCCCCCTTTATCATTATGTAATGTCCTTCTTTTTCTCTTGTGACTTTCTTTGTTTTGAAGTCTATTTTGTCTGATACAAGTACTGCAACACCTGCTTTTTTATCCCTGTTGTGTGCATGCAATACCTTTTTCCATACCTTCACTTTTAGTCTGTGTATATCTTTGGGTTTGAGATGAGTCTCCTGTAAGCAGCATATAGATGGGTCTTGCTCTTTTATCCATTCTATTACTCTGTGTCTTTTGATTGGTGCATTCAGTCCATTTACATTTAGGGTGATTGTCGATAGATATGTACTTATTGTCATTGCAGACTTTGGATTCATGCTTACCAAAGGTTCAAGGGTAGCTTCTTTACTATCTAACTATCTAAACTTAACTCAATTGTGCTATTATAAACACATTCTGATGATTTTTTACTTCTCACCCTTCTTATTCTTTCTCCTCCACTCTTTATATGTTAGGTGTTTTATTCGGTACTCCTTTGTGTTTCCTTGACTGCTTTTGTATATAGCTGATTTATTTTTTGCCTTTTGTTTGTATTTGGTTGGTTTGCTTTCTTTGCTGTGATTTTATTTTCTCTGGTCACCTGTATTCAGCCTTAGGAGTACTTCCATCTAGGGCAGTCCCTTTAAAATACCCTGTAGCAGTGGTCTGTGGGAGGCAAATTCCCTCAACTTTTGCTTGTCTGGAAATTGTTTAATCCCTCCTTCAAATTTTAATGATAATCATGCTGGATACAGTGTTCTTGGTTCAAGGCCCTTCTGTTTCATTGCATTAAATATATCATGCCATTCTCTTCTGGCCTGTAAGGTTTCTGTTGAGAAGTCTGATGATAGCCTGATGGGTTTTCCTTTGTAGGTGACCTTTTTTCTCTCTCTGGCTGCCTTTAATACTGTGTCCTTGTTTTTGTTCTTTGCCATTTTAATTATTATATGTCTTGGTGTTTTCCTCCTTGGGTCCCCTGTGGTGGGAGATCTGTTGGCTTCCATGGTCTGAGAGACTATTTCCTTCCCCAGTTTGGGGAAGTTTTCAGCAATTACTTCTTCAAAGACACTTTCTATCCCTTTTTCTCTCTCTTCTTCTCTGGTACCTCTATAATGCAAATATTATTCCATTTGGATTGGTCACACAGTTCTCTTAACATTCTTTTATTCCTAAAGATCCTTTTATCTTTCTATGTCTCAGCTTCTCTGTATTCCTCTTCTCTTGATTTCTAGCCATTAACAGTCTCTTGCACCTCATCCAGTCTCCTCTTTACATCCTTCTTTTTATTGTTTCGTTTATATTATCTACCTCCAGACTTCATCACTTAGCTCTTGCATATTTCTCTGCAGCTCCATCTGCATGGTTATGACTTCCGTTTTTAATTCTTTTCCAGCAAAATTGGTTATACCTTTCCACGCCCTCTCTCTGGCAATGTTTGAGAGATTTTGGACTGGACCAGGTTCTTTTGTCTTTTCACGGCAAGAGAAGTGATCACTGGCAAGTGGCACGTGTGTCAGCTGGGAGAACGAAGTCCCTTCCTGCTTGATGGTCACCTTGCCCTTCTCCACTGCCTGTGCCAGTTAACCACACACAGGGAGCCATCTCTGGGTTAATACCCTGAGCTGCCATGCATAGTGAAGCCCTTAGGATAGCCCAGGGCACTGCCTGGGGTTGCAGGCGCATGGCATGTTCTCCTATGAGAATGGCACCCCTTCGTCCCTTCATCCCTCTGGACTTTGTGCCAGCTTCCTCTGTCCCTGGTGCAAAGCCTCGGGTTCTGGCCCAGTTAGCTGCACGCTGGCAGAAGACTGTGTGGTTTCTGTGGGTGAGGCTGCTTCCCGGCTGGTCTGCAGCAATTTCCTTGCAGTGAGCTGTTTCCGTGCAGTGCCGGTGGAGGGGAACGAACGGCAGCCTGCTTATTGCCATGAGGGGCTGCGGAACCGCATTGCCACCCAGTGGATTAGGGTGTCTGATGCTCCTTAAGATTCCCAGTCTGCTTGGACGCATGTGCTGGGATGATTTTGTCTACCTGTTAAACTACTGTCTCTTTAAGAATTTTAAAGCACCTGCTTTTCTTTTGTCCTAGGAGAGCTGGCTGTGGGGACCCGCTCACAGACTCTGTCTTGGACTTTACTTTCCCATTTCTCTAATATCCAGTGCAGCATGCAATATGTGTCTGTGCTCCTGAGGCAGATTACTAGGGTTGGTTATTTAGCAGCCCTGTGTTTCCACTCCCTCCCCACTCTGATTCTTCTCCTCCTACCAGTGAGCTGCGGTTGGGGGAGTGCTCAGATCCTACCAGGTCACAGCTTTGAATCACCCTTTTCATGAGATGCTGAGTTCTCGCAGATGTAGATGTAACCTGGCTGTTGTACTGTATCTTCTGGTCTCTCTTTTAGGAATAGTTGTATTTGTTGTATTTTCATGGGGAGGATATTTCCACTGCTCTACTCATGCTGGCATCTTGAGCACCTTCGACCCAGAATGTTTCTTCAGACTTGAAAAACCCAATACTTTCTAGCTAGATAAATAGAGTTTGGCAATCTTGTAACAAACACTACACACAGTTTTTAGGGCAAAGCCAAAAGAAGAATCTAAGGATGTGCCACAGCCATGGGTTAGAGCGTAAAGGGAATCAATACGAACCCCATCTGGTCATAAAGAAGCAATAAAAATACTCACATTCAAATTGTCACAGTGAACACTGGTTTCAACGCGCCATTTCTTCTTTGGAGGAAATTGCTGTTTAGGGAACTTGAGAACCAGAGATTTTCTCCGAACTTCATTAGCACTGCAATCAATAACACTTTCATAGTGTGCAGTCCCTATTTCCACTTGCCAGAAAAAAAGCAACTACAATGAAAATGTCCGAAGTACCAGAGCAAAAGCCTGGGGGGGGAAAAGCCTAACCAAAAGCTAGACATCTGTATTCTAAGGCTCAGATCACCCAAGGCCTTATAGGATCTCCAAATTAATTAAGAACTGGGCAAGCTGTAAGTAACTTCACCTCACTTTCCTTTTTGGCAGATAAGGGAACTAGGCTAAAGGAATTCCAGGAAACCTTCCAGCTCCAACATTTTTAGGGTTAAAGTCTTAGGAAACTTAAGTTACTCAGAATGGAAACATGAACAGTATTAAAAAGTGGTTTGAAAAGAAAAACAAGTTTGTTTTTCCCTCAGTCATTAAAAACCCACCTTCTTCCCTTCCATTGTATAGGATCAAGATACTACATTCTCCTTTTCTAATGTGCTGCAAAACATGACTGTTACAGATACCAAAAATATAAATCAACAATGATGAAAAAAGATCCCAAAACTTAACAGAAACAGAAACAAATTCTATGGTGATAGATGGGAACAAGACTTACGGTGGTGATCACGATATAAATATGAAGTTAAAATGTTGTACACTGAAACTTTTATGTCATATACCAATTTTACCTCAATAAAAAACCAAATGAATATAACTATATCAAATTCATAAAGAAATTACACACAAAAAAGAATTCGAATATATTTTGAGTATCATACCCTGACTGCACAACTTCAGTGACATAGTCCAAGGACAACAAACTACAGAAAACACCATGAATCTACTTTATATATTTGTTGTTAATAGAGATATCAGTATTGTAATTCTCAAACTATATTAAGAAGAGAAAATGAATAAATATGTTGATGTTGGGAATGACAGGAAGGATACAAATATGGAATGGGGGAAGATGAAGAAGAATCCATAGATGCAATCTGAATTAGAGGTATCATAATGAATTGTGATTTACAGATATATGTACACTTCCTAGTTCTGTCTACTAAAAGTCTAGAAGCAATGATATCTTAGTGGCAATGAGCATACCTAACATTTAGATCTTGGTTTTCTAAATACCATTCCCTAATAAAAGGAACCATGGCTCCTTGGAAAACTGGCTGACTCTAGGTCTTGGACAGGGAAATTTCAAGGACAGCCTAGAACATCTTGTGTCAGAAAGACAAGAAGTTCTCAAAGATTTATAGGGTCATTTCAAAAGGACAAAGGATCTAGCTGGAAGAGGTCAAGTTTAAGACAATATGAACATCAAAATTAATAATGATGTTAATGAGTTACAAGACATTAAACTTACAGAGGAAAGAATTTCAGAATCCATAGTAATACTCAAACAAAAGGGAGGGAAAGCTCTTCTTTAGAGCATGCCAGTTAACGTGGGAAGAACACTACATATAAAAACCACTGTTTTGCAACTCCTAACATAATAATTGAGTTAAGCAATGATCATCAATGCTAAACCTACTAAGAGAAAGATTGTTTGGGAACAGTTTATTCACCCTCTTATTAATTACAAAGGGAAAAACATGTATTTATTACAGAGGAATCTGCAGGATCACTTTAACAAGATTAAAACTCATGAGAAAACCTGACATAATGTGCTTCCTGATGTGGTGTAATAAGTACACAATATCACCTTGCCAAAGACATGACATGTAAAACAAAACAAGTGCAAAGGACAGTTCTAGATTGAGAGACACTCAAAATGCTTAATATTTGAACTGGGATTGGATTCTGCACAGAGAATATGCAACAGAGCATTGAGACAACCAGGGAAATCTGAATACTGAATATCAGATATGACTTAATCAGTGTTAATTTTCCTAGCTGCAGTAACAGTATAATGGTATGTCCTGATTAGAAGATGTGTGTGAAAAAGTTCATGACTAAAATGTCATGATGCCAGCAACTTACTTCCAAATGGTTCAGGAAAAAAAAGGTTTAGATTTAAGATGAAGCAAATGTGACAAAAGTTTTAACAGCTGGTGAGTTTAGAGGACTAGTATAGTGTATTTTTCTTCCAACTTTCTGTAGGTTTCCAATTTCAAACTATAAAGTTAGGGGGAAAATCTTCTTTCATTAAAAACTTCTCCACTTGATTATCAATATTAAATTCTCTGAGGGAAAGAGACAGGTACATACAAGCATCGTTTATGTCTCCTTGACCTATTTGGATGTTCACTATCAGAATAGTGTGGTTAGGGACCTTAAGAATGTTACCAGTGCTGGCAAGTAGAATACGAAGAGCATCTATTATATGCCAGGCACTGTTCTACATGTTCTATATAGTCCCTCTCAGTTTATCTTCATGGGTACCCTGGTATGGGTAGTTCTCTTTTGTAAATAAGGAAACTGAGACTCAGGAAAGTTCAGTAGCACACCCAGTGTTAATTAGTGGAACCTGAGTGCTTCATGACAAAAGACTAATTTTCATTACTGGCAACAATTACTGAGGAAAATCCATCCATGTTAACTGCAGAAAACACATCACATCCACCCCTGCCACCCATCAATATCATCAGCCTCCAACAGATCTGCTTTCCCTTACCTCTCAATTAGCTGTTTCCCCAAAATAATCTTGGTCCCTTCAACCTTAATAAGTTCTTCATTATCATTATGAATGACTGTCTTTTCCAACTCCTTCTCCTGCTCCTCAGTCATGGCAACAGGTTTGGAAGGTGGGGCATTTGTTTGATAATAGAGGGGGCAGAATTTGTTTGTCCTCCTGTGCCCAATGGCACCACAAGCCCCACATTTCTGCTGCAAAAAGAAAATTAACAACATGACAGGAGTAAGTAGGCTGCATGCTAGTGTTAAAAAATACATGGGAGCCAGGAGAGAAACAAAGGCAGGTTCAGAACTTTTTTCTAATAGAATTGTTATAGGCCTTTCAACCAGAAACCACTAGACAAAAGTGCATGTATGGAACTGATACATTAAAAATAAAATGAAATACAGAGAACGATCATTTCTTTAAAAATCAACTAAGGAAGAAAAGGGTGAGGATTTTCACTCCCAGTTTAAGTTGTAAACATTGATAATGTCAAACATGCAGGAGAAAGGCTGCTGGAAGCCCAAGGCTGGCCCAAGGCTGCATTCAGCCACACAGGCAGCTAGCATGGGTATATTCTGAGCCAAAAGGAAAAGGCTCAATAATACCAAGTCTCCATCTCAGTTTTGAAACTGACCTCAGGTTCATCTATAAAATGAGGTCAGTACTCATTGTAGCCCAGAGAAAACAAGCAGTGACTGTGGCATCTTAATACACTGATGGACAGTGACTGCAATGGGGTATGGGGGAGACTCAATATGGGCGAATGTAGTAACCAGATTGTTTTTCAAGTGAAACCTTCATATATCAATAATACCTTAATAAGAAAAAATGAGGTCAAGTCAGTACTGTGTCACGTTTATATCATATCACCTACAAGAAAGAAACACTAAAATACTAATGACCTCAGTACACATAACAGCAGTTTATATCTGCCAAGAATTTAACAGTTTATAAAGTGATTCCCATGCATTAGGTCACTTAATACAACAACATTGTGGGACAGGTGTCATTTTATAGGAAATAGGCTTGAGGCGGGTAAGGTCACAGAGCTATCAAATGGTAGAACCAGAACCTGAGTCCAGATCTTGTTTCCAAGTCCATGGCTCTTTCCACTGTACCATAGTTGCCTCATTTTATGAGTCATATTACAGCTACATTGTACAGTACCATCTGCATTCCTATCTGGGTTATGCAAAACTACCCGGAATGTGTTTTTTTCTGTTGCTTCTGTTAATTTGTACAATTTAAAAATAAGATATAAATATGTATCTAAGAACATAAATGTGCATGTAAAAAAAAATCCACCAAACCTATCTCGACTCCTAGAAAATTCTTCCAACAGATGAAGTATAAAATTACCCCCAAGGGCACCAAATTGGTGGTATCAGTATCAGTCACACCAATACTGTTAACAGCCAAGCAGCCACATCATTTGAAACTAGCTTTCCATGACACTGCCCTCATTCCCAGTAAGGGAGGATACCAAAAGCTAAAGGGAAAGGTTTGCTTTCTTCTGTATGATCATGCCACATCATACTTACTTTCAGGTCAGGACGCTCCTTCATTTTTTTGGGTTTCTTCTCAGGAGGGCCCTTAAGCTTCTCCTTTTCCTGGTTCCTCTTAAGCCGCCTCAGCTGCTCTTGAATCCTGCGCCGTTCTTTTCGCATCTCTTCTCGATGCTGCTTATCAAACAGGGCAAATTTTCGACTAATAACAAAGACAAAAATATCACAAAACCATGAGCACTTTAACAAGACTATTCTATTAGCTGAACATCTCAAAACTAAAGTAATCCATCCAGACGGAAAAACAAGGGACTACCTGGCATTTCCATCTCCCTTCATCATCAGCCTTGCACAGGAACAGAGGCCTCTCTCCCAGAATGAGAAGTTGTGAGTAAAGCCTAATATTTTTAACAACCAACCAACTAAAATGCAAAGGACTCAGGGGCAACTGAAAGCATGCCTTTTTGGTGGCACATTTGGAGTTCTCCCTGTGATCTTTGGCTTCAAACCCAAAGATGTAAATGAAGACAAGACTGCTCCCAGTTAAAAGATCTCTAGGGAAAACGGTACAGAAAACAGTTTCTAAAACTCAAGCACCCACTCCTACCCCAATTCCCCACCATTCTTCTCATTCTCCTTACCACACCACACTGGTGAATTAAACTCACATGAATTCCTCATCTTTTGTGTTCCGTATACGCACATACGCATCGATGACAGCTGGCTTTCTAACTGTCTCACATCGAACATACTCTTTCCATTCTTCATCTCGAAATGTGCGATAAATCTTAAGACAACGGCCAGTGGCAGAAGAGTTCAGGCTAGGCACAGAAGCTGTGTCATTGTCTCTGTGATTGTTTCCTGCTGCTGCTGAGCCTGCTGCTGCAAGGCAGAAACAGATTTCGACAAACTACCCCTATGACTCAAAGAGCCATTTTCTTGGGATTGGGTAGAGACACTGAAGCTCTATATGCCACAAAACCACAGCTCTATAGAAAGAACCAAAGTAGCCACCAGCCCCTCAAATACATTGATTTGTCTTTTCATGACTTCACTTTACCACTGTCAATGTTCCTGTTTTTATAAGTACAAAATATGAAAAGTTCTCCAAAAACTACATGTTGTTATAGGGGACAGAGCAGCAAGAGGTATATTCTCATTCGTCTGAATAGCATAAGAGAAAAGTCAAAGCAGGAAACAGCTGATGATCATCGTAAGAAAAGCACCCAGATTCAGTGAAATTCCTATTAAAATACTGACAGCATTTTTCAATGAACTAGACCAAATAGTTCTAAAATTCATATGGAACCACAAAAGAAACCAAATATCCAAAGTAATCCTTAGAAGGAAGAATAAAGCGGGGGGATTACGTTCCCCAACTTCAAGCTCTACTACAAAGCCAAAGTCATCAAGACAATCTGATACTGGCATAAGAACAGAGCCATAGATCAGAGAGCCCAGATATAAACCCACACATATATGGCCAATTAACATATGATAAAGGAGCCATGGGCATACAATAGGGAAATGACAACCTCTTCAACTAGTGTGTTTGCAAAACTGGGGAGCCATATGCAAAAGAAAGAAACTGGATTACTGTCTAACTCCATTCACAAAAGTAAACCTCAATGGATCAAAGACCTGAATGAAGTCATGAAACCATAAAACTTAGATAAAAAAAACATAAGCAAAACTCTCTTGAATATAAACATGAGTAACTATTTTATGAACACATCTCCTCAGGCAAGGGAAACAAAAGCAAAAAAGAACAAGCAGGAGTACTTCAAACTAAAAAGCTTCTGTACAGCAAAGGACACCATCAGTAGAACAAAAAGGCAACCAACAGTATGGGAGGATATATTCATAAATGACGTATGAGACCAGGCGTTAATGTCCAAAATATATAAAGAACCCGCACACCTTCACACATAAAAAGCAACTAACCCGATTAAAAAATGGGCAAAGGATCTGAACTGACACTTCTCCAAAGAAGAACTTCAGGAAGGAGGATTAAAGATGGCAGCGTGAGAGGTGAGACAGAGTTTTCCTCCTAAAGCTGCATATAATAAACACAAGAAATCCTGAAAGACCAATAGGAAACAGGACTACACCAGACTGCATACAACTGGAGAAAAGAGCAGACCTCCCGGAACAGGATAATGTACCAAAACTGTGGCCCAGTGGGACCAAGGCCCTTACAATACCCCACGTCACCAGAAGGAGGAACAGAAATGGAGCAGAGAGGGAATGGAGGCCTGGGACTGTTGAAAGACCAAGGCCCTTACAATACCCCACGTCACCAGAAGGAGGAACAGAAATGGAGCAGAGAGGGAATGGAGGCCTGGGACTGTTGAATACCTAACTTGGGAGATCTGCTCTGTGAGCACAAACCTACATTTTATGGTGCTTGCACGGTACTCCCACAATTAAGGGGTTGGAAAGCTCAGACAGGAAGAATTCCCGGAAAGACTGAGATTCTAGCCGCTTGTGGAAAGCAGGGATCCTTACCCAGCTGCTCGGTGACAAAAGAAAGGTGGGCAGTCTGAGAAGATTCCTAACAAGGAAACCCTTGGCAAGAGGGCTGCTAAAGGGACAAGGACTGCACAGAGTTTACTGCTCAGGAGAAAGGAAAGTAGACAAATTGTCCGGGTGCACTCTGCCCAGCAGGTTGGGAGCTTTCACAGACTTTAGGTGCTCCAGCTTCCTGGCTGGCGACGCACCACCAAGGACCCCCTCGGTGATACTCACCCAAGTGTGCCTTTCTCCCAGCCAGTCCCACCTGACTTGCAAACTGGAAAACCCAACTCTGGCATTAGGCCACACAGAGGGAGATCCGTTTACATCAACTACAGACGCAAAGCATAGACACTTTCACCTGTGTGCTCGGCCCACTGGTTCAGGCACTGGAGACAGGCACAGCAGCTGGGAACTAGGAAACAGCTCTTTCCTCACCCCAGGCACAAATATCATTCCCCTGCAACCCTTGACATTGCTACAAGGGCTGAGCAGCTCCAGACATAGAGCTTCTGTGCACTAGAGAGTGCCATACACAAATATAAAATGACGAAGGAACCTGGTTCCAAGTAAAATTATAAAGACAACACCTGAGAAAGATTTAAATGGCATCGACTTCATGAATCTTCCTGAAACCGAGAGCAAAATAAAAAACATTAACATGCTCATGAAGGTACAGAAAAATATTCAAGATCTCAGGAATGAAATCTGGTGGGAGATGCAATCGTTGACGACCACAGTGGAAGCTATTAAAAGCAGTTTAGATATGGTGGAGGAGACGATCAATGAAACAAAAACTAGAAAAGAGGAATACAAAGAAACTGAGGCACAGAGAGAAAAAAGAACCAAAGATCTCAGGAATGAAATCTGGTGGGAGATGCAATCGTTGACGACCACAGTGGAAGCTATTAAAAGCAGTTTAGATATGGTGGAGGAGACGATCAATGAAACAAAAACTAGAAAAGAGGAATACAAAGAAACTGAGGCACAGAGAGAAAAAAGAACCCCTAAGAATGAAAGAATATAGAGACAGCTGTGTGACCAATCCAAATGGAACAATATTTGCCTTATAGGGGTACCAGAAGAAGAAGAGAGAGAAAAAGGGATAGAAACTGTCTTGAGGAGGTAATTGCTGAAAACTTTCCCAATCTGGGTGAGGACATCATCTCTCAGGCCATGGAGGTGCACAGATCACCCAGCACAAGGGACCCAAGGAAGACAACACCAAGACATATAGTAATGAAAATGGCAAGATAGAGGATAAAGACAGACTATTAAAAGCAGCCAGAGAAATAAGATCACATACAAAGGAAGGCCCATCAAGCCATCATCAGAGTTCTCAACAGAAACCTTACAGGCCAGAAAGGAGTGGCATGATATATTTAATGCAATGAAGCAGAATGGCCTCAAACCAAGAATACTTTATCCAGCAAGATTATCATTTAAATTTGAAGGAGGGATTAAACAATTTCCAGAAAAGCAAACGCTGAGAGAATTCACCCCCCACAAATAATCTCTACAGTGTATTTTGGAGAGACTGCTACAGATGGCAGTGTTCCTATTGTTTAATAGTTGTTATCAAACGTAATAAAACCACAGTAAAGAAAGTAGAACAGTTAATCACTAAACAAATGCAAAATTAACTGAACTACGTCCAAAGTCATTCAATGGATAGCCAAAGAGTACTGAATATGATATGTCTACGTCCAAAGTCATTCAATGGATAGCCAAAGAGTACTGAATATGATACGTAATATATAAAGAATGGAGGAGAAAGACAAGGGATGAGGGGAAAAAAAAGAACCTTTAGATTGTGTTTGTAATAGCATATTAAGTGAGTTAAGACTCTTAGATAGTGAGGAAGTTATCCTTGAACCTTTGGTAACCATGAATCTAAAGCCTGCAATAGCAATAAGCACATACCTATCAATAATTGCCCTAAATGTAAATGAACTGAATGCACCCAAGGACACAGAATAATCACAGAATGGATTTAAAACATCTACATGCTAAATAAAAGAGGCTCACTTTAAAGCCAAAGATACACACAGACAAAAAGTGAAGGGATGGAAAAAGATATTTCATGCAACTAATAGGGAGAAAAAAGCAGGAGATGCAGTACTTGTATGAGACAAAATAGACTTCAAAACAAAGAAAGTCACAAAAGAAAAAGAAGGGCATTACATAATGAAAAAGGGGTCAATCCAACAAGAAGATAAAGGCAATAAAAATATCTATGCACCGAACACAGGAGCACATACGTATGTGAAGCAAATACTAACAGAATTAAAGAGGGAAATAGGTTGCAATACATTCATTCTAGGAGACTTACAGCACTCCACTCACTCTGAAGAGAGATGAACCAGGAAGAAAATAAGTAAGGAGAGAGAGGCGCAGAACAACACATTAGAACAGATGGACCTTACTGACACTGACAGAACTCTACAACCAAAACAGCAGAATACACATTCATCTCAAGTACACATGGAACATTTTCCAGAATAGACCCCATACTAGGCCACAAAAGAAGCCTTGGTATATTCAAAAAGATTGAAATTGTACAAACCAGTTTCTCAGACCACAAAGGTATAAAACTGGAAATAAATTTTACAAAGAAAAGAAAAAGGCTCACAATCACAAGGAGGCTTAACAATGTGCTCTTAAATAATCAATGAATCAATGAGCAAATTAAAACAGAGATCCAGCAATATATAGAGAGAAATGACAACAGCACAAAGCCCAAACTTCTGTGGGATGCAGAAAAGCTAAGTGGAAAGTATATAGCAATCCTTTCCCATTTAAGGAAGGAAGAACAATCCCAAATGAATAGTATAAAGTCACAATCATTGAAAAGGAAGAACAAATGAGGCACAAAGTCAGCAGAAGGAGGAACATAATAAAGATCAGAGAAGAGATAAAACTGAGAACAATTAAACAATAGAAAAGACTCAATGAAACCAAGCACTGGTTCTCTGAGAAAGTAGACAAAATGGATAAACCGACAGCCAGACTAACTAAAAGAAAAAGAGAAACTGGACACATCAACAGAATCAGAGATGAGAAAGAAAATATCATGATGGACCCCACAGAAATACAAAGAATCATGAGAGAATACTATGAAAACCTACATGCTACCAAGCTGGAAAACCTAGAAGAAATGGACAACTTCCTAGAAAAATACAACCTTCCAAGGTTAACCAAGGAAGAAACAGAACATCTAAACAGACTTATTACCAGCAACGAAATTGAATCAGTCATCAAAAGGCTACCCAAGAACAAAACTCCTGGGCCAGATGGATTCACTGTTGAATTAGACATATAGAGAAGATATAACACCCATTCTCCGTTAAGTTTTCCTAAAAACAGGAGAGGAGGGAATACTTCTAAACATTCTATGAAGCCAGCATCACTCTAATACGAAAACCAGGCAAACACCCCAGAAAAAAAGAAAACTACAAACCAATACCTCTGATGAACATAGATGAAAAAATTCTCAACAAAATATTAGCAAACCGAATTCAAAAATACATCACAAGGATCATACACAATAATCAAGTGGTATTTATCTCTGGGAAGCAAGTATAGTACAGCATTCAAAAATCCATCAACATCATCCACCACATCAACAAAAAGAAAGACAAAAACCACATGATCATCTCCATAGATGCTGAAAAAGCATTCAACAAAATTCAATGTCCATTCATGATAAAAGCTCTCCAAACAATGGGTACAGAGGGAAAGTACCTCAACATAATAAAGCCCATATATGACAAACTCACAGACAACATCATACTTAAAACAGCGAGAAGCTGAAAGCTTTTCCTCTGAGATGGGGAACAAGACAGGGATGCCCACTCTCCCCACTGTTAGTCAACATAGTATGGGAGGTTCTAGCCATGGTAATGAGACAAAACAAAGAAATACAAGGCATTCAGATTGGCAAAGAAGTCAAACTGTCACTATTCGCAGATGACATGATACTGTACATAAAAAACCCTAAAGACTCCACTCCAAAACCACTAGAAAAAATACCTGAATTCAGCAAAGTTGCAGGATACAAAATTAATACACAGAAATCTGTTGCTTTCCTACATGCTAACGATGAACAAGCAGAAAGAGAAATCAGGAAAACATTTCCATTCACAATTGCATCAAAAAAGAATAAAATTCCTAGGAATAAACCTAAACAAGGAAGGGAAAGACCTATACCCTGAAAACTACAAGACACTCTTAAGAGAAATTAAAGAGAACACTAACAAATGGAAACTCATCCCATGCCCTTGGCTAGGAATTAATATTGCTAAATTGGCCATCCTGCCTAAAGCAATCTACAGATTCAATGCAATCCCTATGATAATACCAACAGCATTCTTCAACAAACTGGAAGAAATAGTTTTAAAATTCATATGCAACCACAAAACACCCAGTATAGCCAAAGCAATGCTGAGAAGGAAGAATAAAGCAGGGGCGATCTTGCTTTCCAACTTCAAGCTCTACTACAAAGCCACAGTAATCAAGACAATTTGGTACTGGTACCAGAACAGACCCACAATTCAATGGAACAGAATACAGAGTCCAGATATCAACCCAAACATATATGGTCAAGTACTATATGATAAAGGAGGCATGGACATACAAGGGGGAAATGACAGCCTCTTCTACAGCTGGTGTTGGCAAAACTGGACAGCTACATGTAAGAGAATGAAACTCGATCACTGTCTAACCCCATACACAAAAGTAAATTCACAATGGATCAAAGACCTGAATGTAAGTCATGAGACCATAAAACCCTTAGAAAAAAACATAGGCAAAAATCTCTTAAGACATAAACATGAGTGACTTCTTCATGAACATATCTCCCAGGCAAGGGAACGAAAAGCAAAAATGAACAAGAGGGACTATATCAAGTTGAAAAGCTTCTGTACAGCAAAGGATATCACCAATAGAATAAAAAGGTATCATACAGTATGGGAGAATATATACGTAAATTACAGATCTGTTAAAGGGCTTACATCCAAAATAAATAAAGAGCTCACACACCTCAACAAACAGCTAATAATCCAATTAAAAAACGGGCAGAGGAGCTGAACAGTCAGTTCTCCAAAGAAGAATTTCAGATGGCCAACGGACACAGGAAAAGATGCTCCACATCCCTACTCATCAGAGAAATACAAATTAAAACCACAATGAGGTATCACCTCACACCAGTAAGGACGGCCGGCATCCAAAAGACTAAGAACAACAAATGCTGGTCAAGATGCGTAGAAAGGGGAACCCTCCTACACTGCTGGTGGGAATGTAAATTAGTTCAACCATTGTGGAAAGCAGTATGGAGGTTCCTCAAAACACTCAAAAAAGAAATACCATTTGATCCAAGAATTCCACTACTAGGAATTTACCGTAAGAATGCCGCAGCACAGTTTGAAAGACAGATGCATCCGTATGTTTATCGCAGTACTATTTACAATAGCCAAGAAATGGAAGCAACCTAAGTGTCCATCAGTAGATGAATGGATAAACAAGATCTGGTACATATACACAATGGAATATTATTCAGCCATAAGAAAACAAACCTATCATTTGCAACAACATGGATGGAGCTAGAAAGTATTATGCTCAGTGAAATAAGCCAGGTGGAGAACGACAAGTATCAGATGATTTCACTCATATTTGGAGTATAAGAACAAAGAAAAAATCTGAAGGTGCAAAACAGCAGCGGACTCACAGAAACCAAGAACAGACTAACAGTTCCCAAACAGAAAGGGCCTGGGGACAATGAGTGGGGAGGGAAGGATAAGGGGTGGGGAAAAGAAAGGGGGCACTATGATTATCACGTATAATGTGGGAGGGCAGAAATGGGGAGGGCTGTACAACACAGAGAAGACAAGTAGTGATTCTACAGCATCTTACTATGCTGATGGACAGTGTCTGTAATGGGGTATGTGGGGGTGATGGGGGAGTCTAGTAAAGATAAAGTTCCTCATGTAATTGTAGATTAATGATACCCAAATAAAAAATAAAAAAGGCCTTTGCTCCCTGATGTTTATCAGAGCACAATATAACATACAATAGCCAACCTATGGAAGCAACCTAAGTGCTCATCAGTAGATAAGTGGATAAAGAAGGTGTGGTACCTACACACAATGGAATATTATTTAGCCATAAGAAGAAAACAAATCCTACCATTTGCATCATGGACAGACCTATAGGGTATATGCTCAGTGATATAAGGCAGCTGAAGACAAGTACCAAATGATTTTATTCATCTGAGGAATATAACAACAAAGCAAAAAGGAACAAAACAGCAATGGACCAACAGTTACCAAAGAGAAAGGGACTGGGGAGTGTTGGTGTGAAGGGAGTGTAAGGGGATTAAGGGGCATTATGATTAGTGCACTGAATGTAGTGGGGGGCACGGGGAAGGAAGTATATAGCACAAAGTTGGCAAGTTATTACTCTATAGCATCTTACTATGCTTGATGAGCAGTGACTCTAATGGGACATGTGGTGGGGACTTAATGCGGGGCATGTAGTAGCCACAAAGTTGCTCATGTGAAATCCAAGCATAAGATTGTATATCAAGGATACCTTAATAAAAAAAATGTACCCATGCACGACAGAAACAAGTCCAGAGCATCCTTCTAAAACTTTAATTATGCAAGAGTAGTAATCACCTGAGGATCTTGTTAAAATACAGAATCTGATCAGTAGGTTTGTGATGAGCCCTAAGATTTCTGCATTTCTAACAAGCTCCCATGTGATGTAGATACAGCTGATCCACAACAACACTGGTGAAGAGGCTTTATTACATCTTTACAATGTAGTCAAAACAACAAAATTACACAAAGCTTTTACAAAGAGAAGGAAACAAAGGAAAAGACTACTATGAGTGAGAACAGTTACGTAAACCTTCATCTTCAGCCTTTATTCTCTCTCTGTATCTACATCCAACTTTTCAGTTGCCTGCTTGCCATCTACACTAGGTAGTGGCATGGGGACCTCAAACTCCACACCTCCCCATGTTAAACCTGCTTCTTTCTTTGAAATTTGCTACTTTAATCAATGGTACCACCATCTTCCTAGCAAGCCCAGAGAGAAATCTTAAAGTCAGCTTGTTTTTTTTACCTCTTCATTTCCAAAGTCCATATATATCCCACACCACTTCAGGCCACTATCACCTTTCACCCTCAACTTCTGCAATTTTTGGCTGGGGTTTTTTTTAGCTCTCTTTAGGTGCTCAGAATACTCTGAAAATCTTCTGAAAGCCATGGATGATCTCAGAAAAGGCACATTTGCACAGAATTTGACATACTGATTGCAGAGGGTTCAAGAACCAACCCCAAATTCATTCAGATTCTGTATTAAAAACTCTTACCCTCTATGAAGAATGCCTGGAAAGCTCATTTGATGGACAGCACTGAGAGCCCTGGCTTGGCCAGGCCTGATGCAGCGACAGCAGTGGACTGATAGCATATCCTCCATCTATGCACCACAACCTAGAGTCCAATTTGCAGTCATCTTTCTTACCTCATCTACAGGCAATCTTTCTACACTCATCCCAACATCTGCTGCCTCCAGCACTGCCTCAATAATTAGTTTGCAGTTACTTATACTTTTTAATCTTTCTCGTCTGTCTGTGAAGCCACTACCCTCACCCAACAACATCCTCTGTAGTTCCTGCCGCTCTTGCTCCTCCCGTTCGCGTGATAGCTGAGAACTGGTTTTCTTATTCTGCAACATGTTCTCCATGTTCTTTCCCATTTCTTCAAAGTCACTGTCTTCAGCTGAGCTACTATCTGTGTCAGTTGATAAGACTTCAGTTGATGACAAAACCCTAAAAAGAGAAAAAAAACAATATTAAATTAAGACAAGGGGAAATACAGAAGTTTACAAAGAGCTGAAGGAACAGTTTGAGGCTAGAGTAGGAAATTGGGAAGTCAGCCTTAAAAACAACACTCAAAATCCACTAAGATATGGAGCCCTTACTGGAAAAGCTTCACAAGTTTTCCTAGACATTCAGTGAACAAGGCAAGTTAGAAATACGAAATAGCACAGCTCTTTCAGAATTCCTGGAGAGACCCTGAGAAACACATCAATATATTATTGGTCATTATGAATTAGGGCATTCCCATCCTCTCAACAGTAAGCCTTCAGAGAACATACAACTTCCTGTCCCCTAACACCACTGTAATGGCTGCTAGGCCCAAGTAGGCCATAAAAGTTGCCATGGAACCCAGAGCTCAAACCTAGCACCACTTGCCATTCAAAACCTTTGCCAAGTTGCTTTGAATAAAGTAGGTACTCTAGCAGTATATGAACAGATGCCATCCTGAAATCTCCAGATACCTTACTACCTAGTTATATTATTAGGTGTGACTAAAACATAATTAGGTTTCTCCATTATAAAATAGTGTCTTGGACTCCCCCACTTTTCCAGATTGGATTTTCTGCAGCACTAAAACACACTTGTTCTGCAGGTCAAAGACGCGTTGACATTCCTCTTTGTAACGCTCTTGATGCTCAGCCACAGAAAACCTTGATCCACAAGCAAATTTACTCATGGGTCCCTCTCCAGAGCGGGCCTGTTCTGTTAACATTGTGCGTAACGCATCAATCACTTCCCAGCAGGAAAACTTTTTAATCTACAAGAGAGAGAGAGACACACACACACACACACACACACACACACACCAATTATTCAGGTATTTCAAAGAGAAAACCAAGACACATGGTTAGAGAGCTAGACCAAAAAAACAACACCCAAAATATTTTAAACAGAAAGCTTTAGAACTAACTCCTGAAAAAGTATACAAGACCCAGGCCACCACAACTTACACCACAAAATCCTCCAGACAGTTTCTTACATCTGCCTACTAGCTCTTCCCTCCTTGTGCAAAGCCCCTAGGAGCCTCTACATTTTCCTCTTCCTCCTCACCTTTTCCTCAAGCACACCAAATTTACGAAGAAGTTGCTTGGCATTTTTTAGAGAGAGGTGACGAAGATCTGCATCGGTTCCTGTCACTGTTTTCTTCATTGGCTGAGGCTCCCTACCATCCTACATCAAAAACAAAATACAACAAAATAGGTAAGAATCCTAGAGAGCTGAATTCTTTGTAGTAACCACTTAAATCATCCTGTCAACTTAACTGCTTCCTAGATGATATATCCTATTCATCATGACTCATTAACCTTCCTTTCTATCTTCCTTGATTCACATCCTACAGAAACTCGGACACTCTCACCTTCCGCTGTGTTGCTTTGTTTGGAATCTTCACATACGAGAACCCTTCACCACACCCTGTGGGATCTGCCATCCCAGTCACCTCCAGGAGACACTTGCCCGTCATGGCAGCAATGAAGGCCCTTGTGGTGTTCCAAGGAGCTGTGTGAACCTGACATACAGGAAAAGATTTAAGGGTTATGGAGCACATTTGCTCTATGTCTAGCCATGATACAAAGTTGGATCAATTACAGTAACACAATTTGATACTTTTGTAAACTATTCACAAAAACCAACTGTTACATACATAAAGCTGACCAGGGCTCAGAGCTTGCTGTTCTTCTTTCCTATGGTAATTAAATCATGATATTTAGTAGAAGTTAAGATTTCAGCCATTAGAAGAAGGAATATGTGGAACAGAGGTATCCTTCACTCCAATATTCGCTGAGCTTCCCTGAGAGTTCTCAGAGACGGTGTTGCCCCCATCCTCGTGATGCACAAAAGTTAGACTGAAACTGCACTTTGACAGTACAATTACTTCTTTAGAATGACCCACATATTTTCATAATCAGATGGTAAATCATGCTTTACAAAACACTAGCCCCAACCCCAGGAGCACTGAATCAGAGTCCACTTCACCTCTGCCACTGGTTTGCTCAAAATGGTCTGTCCTCTCTCTCCTGGAATCCTGAATACCTTTTAGAAATCCCACAAAACAGTAAGGAAATTAAGAGTAGGGGAATGTGTTTCTCCATACAGACGAGTTAAGACTACAAATGATTACCTAGAATGTGATCAAGGAGGAGAAGATTAAAGATGGAGGCATGAGAAGTGAGACAGAGGCTTCCTCCTAATACCACATAAAATACAAAAATATAATTAATACGAGTAATCCTGAAAGGGCAGCAGGAACGAGGGTTGTGCCAAACTGCATAAACCTGGTGAAAGAAATAAACCTCACAGAACAGAGTAAGGTACCAAAGCCGTGGCCCGGATGGACCCAAGCCCTTTCCCCCAGCTCACTGCCAGAATGAAAGAGAAACAGAGTGGGAAGGGAGTGGAGGGCTGAGACTGCTGAATACCTAACTCCAGAGATCTACTCTGGGAGCACATACACACATTTCATGGTGCTTGCATGGTACTCTCGTGATTAGCTAAGACAGGCAGAGTTCCTGAAGAGATTCCAGCCGCTTGTGGAAAGCAGGGATCCATATCTGGCAGCCCTGGGACAAAAGAAAGGTGGGCAGTCTGAGAGACTTCCTAACAAGGAAGCCCTTAGCAAGAGGGCTGCTAAAGGGGCAAGGACTGCACAGAGCAGTAATGCTCAGGAGAAACTAAAGTAGACAAATTGTCCGGGTGCACTCTGCCCAGCAGGTTGGGAGCTTTCACAGACTTTAGGTGCTCCAGCTTCCTGGCCGGCTACGCACCACCAAAGAACCCCTCGGTGATACACACCCAACTGCACATTCCTCCCGGATAGCCCCACCTGGCTTGCAAACCGGCAAACCCTACCCTGGCATTAGGACAGCCAGACGGAAGATCTGTTTACAGCAACTACAAACGCAAAGCACAGAGGCTTATACCTGTATGCTTGGCCCACTGGTTCAGACACTGGAGACAGCCACAGCAGCTGGGAAGCAGGAAACAGCTCTTTCCTCTCCCAGGCACCAATACCACTCCCCTGTGGCCCTTGACATTGCTTCAGGGGCTAAGCAGCTCCACAGAGTAGAGCTTCTCAATACGAGAGGGGCCCGTACACAAATACGAAATGCCAAAGGAACCTGGTTGAAATTTAAATTATTAACACAACTCCTCAGGAACATTTAAATGACATTGACCTCATTAATCTTCCTGAAAGAGACTTCAAAATAAAAATCATTAACATGCTTACGTAGGTACAGAAAAATATTGAAGAACTCAGGAGGGAATTCCAGTTGGAGATACAATCATTGAAGAGCACAATGGGGGTATTAAAAGCAGATTAGATATGGTGGAGGACACGATAAATGAAATAGAAACTAGAAAAGAGGAATACGAAGAAGCTGAGGAACAGATAAAAGGATCCCTAAGAATGAAAGAATATTGAGAGCACTGTGTGACCAATCGTTAACAGAACAATACTCACATTATAGGGGTACCAGAAAGAGAACAGAGAGAAAAAGGGATAGAAAGTGTCTCTGAGGAGGTAATTGCTGAAAACTTCCCCAGTCTGGAGAAGGAGATTGTCTTTCAGGCCATGGAGGTGCACAGATCTCCCAGGATAAGGGACACAAGGAAGACAACACCAAGACACAGAGTAACTGAAATGTCAAACATCAAGGATAAGGACAGACTAATCAAAGCAGCCAGAGAGAGAAATAAGAACACATACAAGGGAAGCCCATCAGGCTATCATCAGATTTCTTGGCAGAAAACTTATAGGCAGAAAGGAGTGGCAAGATTTATTTAATGCAATGAGGCAGAAAGGCCTCGAACAAAGGGGCCCTTAGAACCAAGATTACTTGATTCGGCAAGATTATCACTTAAATTTGCAGGAGGAATTAAACAATTTCCAGACAACCAAAAGCTGAGACAATTTACCTTCCACAAACCATCTACAGTGTATTTTGGAGGGACTGCTACAGAGGGAAGTGTTCTTAAGGTTTAATAGCTGTCACCACAGGTAATAAAACCACAGTAGAGAAAGTAGAACAGCTAATTACAAAGCAAATGCAAAATCAAATTAACCGTCCCCAGAGTCAATCAAGGATAGACAAAGAGTACAGAATATGACACCTAATCCATAAAGAATGGAGGAGGAAGTCACAGGAGAAAAAAAGAACCTTTAGACTATTTGTACTACCATATTAAGTGAGTTAAGTCAGACTCTTAGATAGTAAGGAAGTTAACCTTGAGCCTTTGATAACCACAAATCTGAAGACTACAAAGGCAATAGTTACATACCTATCGATAATCACCCTAAATGTAAATGGTTTGAATGAACCAATAAAAAGACATAGAGTCACTGAATGGATAAAAAACAAAACCCATCTATATACTGCTTACAAGAGATTCACTTTAAACCCACAGATATGCACAGACTAAAAGTGAAGGGATGGAAAAAGATATTTCATACAATTAATAGGGAGAAAACAGCAGGATTTGCAGTACTTGTATGAGATGAAATAGACATCAAAACAAAGAAAGTAACAAGAGATAAAGAAGGACATTACATAATGCTAAGGGATCAGTCCAACAAGAGAATATAACCATTATAAATATCTATGCACCCAACACAGGAGCACCAACATATGTGATAACAGAATTAAACAAAGAAATAGAATATAATGCATTCATTTCAGGAGACTTCAACACATCACTCATTCCCTCAATCCAAAGGACCAGTCAACCAGACAGAAAATAAGTATAGAGAAGCACTGAGCAACACATTAGAATAGATTCACCTAAATATGTCAAACAAAAGTCAACATAATTAAAAGGGAAAATAGTATACAGCACATTCATTTTAAAGACTTTAACATACCATTCACACCAAAAGACCCATCAATTAGATAGAAAATAAATAAGGAAACAGAGGCACTGAACAATAACTGGAACAGACGGACCTAACAGACATCAAGAGAATGCTACATCCAAAAGCAGCACAATACACATTCTTCTCAAGTGCACATTGAACATTTTCAAGAATAGATCATATACTAGGTAAGAAAAAGAGCCTCGCTAAATAAAAAAAGATTAAAATTGTACAAACCAGTTTCTCAGACCACAAAGGTATGAAACCAGAAATAAATTATGCAAAGAAAATGAAAAAGCCCACAAGCACATGGAGGCTTTACAACATGCTCCTAAATAACCAATGGATCAATGACCAAATAAAAACAGAGATCAAGGAGATAAATACCAACAATAATTCAACACCTCAAAGTCTGTGGGATGCAGCAAAGGCCATGCTAAGACAGAAGTATATTGCAATACAGTCGTACCTCAGCAAAGATAATCAATCCCATATGAACAATATAAACTCACAATAAACAAAACTAGAAAAGGAAGAATAAACGAGGCCCAAAGTCAGTTCAAGGAGGGACATTCTAAAGATTAGAGTAGAAATAAATAAAACTGAGAAGAATAAAATAACAGAAAGAATCAATGAAAGCAGGAAATGGTTCTTTGAGAAAATAAAAATGGATAAACCCCAAAAAGACTTATCAAGAAAAAAAGAGTCTACACACATAAACAGAACCAGAAATGACAAAGGAAAGATCAAGACAGACACCACAGAAATACAAAGAATCATTACAGAACACTATAAAAAATTCATGATAACAAACTGGATAACCTAAAAGAAATGGACAACTTTCTAGAAAAGTACAACCTTCCAAGGCTGACCCAGAAATAAACAGAAAATCTGAACAGAACAATTACCAGCAACAAAATTGAACTGGTAATCAAAAACCTGCCAAAGAACAAAATCCCTGGACCAGATGGAATCACTGCTGAATGTTACAAAAATTTAGTTAAGACCTAAAACCCATTCTCCTTAAAGTTTTCCAAAGAGTAGAAGAACAGGGAATACTTCTAAACTCATTCTATGAGGATCACTCTAATACCAAAAAGAAGGAAAAACACCACAAAAAAAAGAAAATTACAGACCAATATCCCTGATGAACACAGATGCAAAAATACTCAACAAAATATTAGTGAACAGAACTCAAAAATACACCAAAAAGATCATCTATCATGATCAAGTAGATTTGTCCCAGAGATGCAAGGATGGTATAACATTAGAAAATCCATCAACATCATCCACCACATCAACAAAAAGGAGGACAAAACCACACATGCATTTCCAAAGATGCAGAAAAAGCATTTGACAAAATTCAACATCCATTCATTATAAAATCTCTCAACAAAATGGGTATAGAGGGCAAGTGCCTCAACATAATAAAGGCCATATATAACAAACCCACAGCCAACATGATACTTAACAGCGAGAAGCTGAAAGCTTTTCCTTTAAGACTGGGTATAAGACAAGGATGCCCACTCTCCCCACATCTATTCAACACAGTACTGGAGGTCCTGCCCACTCTCCCCACATCTATTCAACACAGTACTGGAGGTCCTAGCCACAGCAGTCAGACAACACAAAGAAATAAAAGGCATCCAGATTGGTAA